AAAAATCGGGTTTTTGAAGAGAAAATGACCCAAAAAATCGCATTTTTCAAGGGAGGTTTTGGTCTCGAATCATCCGAGTCCAGCAGAGACAAGGGCGCCAAGGGGAGAGGCGGCTTGGAGGATTTCTTGGAGGTTCTGGGGAAAAAATGGTAATTTTTGAGGAAAAAATAGGAAAAAAATCACGTTTTTTAAATAAAAATTGCCTAAAAAATCACATTTTTTCTTGATTTTTAAAGGGAGTTTTTGGTCTGTGGAGAGAGGCGGCTTGGAGGATTTCCTGGAGGTTCTGGGGAAAAAATCAGGTTTTTTTAAGAGAAAATGACCCAAAAAATCTCATTTTTCAAGGGAATTTTTGGTCTGCGGGGACAGGCGGCTTCGAGGATTTCTTGGAAAATTCCAAAAATCCCCGAAACCCCCAAAAATCTCTGGAATTCCAATCTCAAATCCCAAAAATCCAAAAAAACACCAAAAATTTCTGGAATTCCAATCTCAAATCCCAAAAATCCCCGAAAACCCTAAAAATCTCTGGAATTCCAATCTCAAATCCCAAAAATCTCTGGAATCCCAACATCAAATCCCAAAAATCCCCCAAAACCCCAAAAATCTCTGGAATTCCAATCTCAAATCCCAAAAATCCCAAAAAAACCCCAAAAATCTCTGGAATCCCAATCCCAAATCCCAAAAATCCCAAAAATCTCTGGAATTCCAATCTCAAATCCCAAAAAACGCCAAAAAACCTCAAGAATCCCAATCTCAAATCCCAAAAATCAAAAAAAAAAACTAAAAATCTCTGGATTCCCAATCCCAAATTCCAAAAATCCCAAAAAACCCCCAAAAATCTCTGGAATCCCAATCTCAAATCCCAAAAAAACCCCCAAAAATCTCTGGAATCTCAATCCCAAATCCCAAAACTCCCCAAAAACCCCAAAAATCTCTGGAATTCCAATCTCAAATCCCAAAGATCTCTGGAATCCAAACGGCAAATCCCAAAAATCCAAAAAAAACCCCAAAAATCTCTGGAATTCCAATCTCAAATCCCAAAAAAACCCAAAAAACCCCAGGAATCCCAATCTCAAATCCCAAAAATCCCCAAAAAACCTAAAAATCTCTGGATTCCCAATCCCAAATCCCAAAAATCCCCCAAAACCCCAAAAATCTCTGGAATTCCAATCTCAAATCCCAAAAATCCAAAAAACCACCAAAAATCTCTGGAATCTCAATCTCAAATCCCAAAAATCCCCGAAAACCCTAAAAATCCCTGGAATCCCAATCTCAAATCCCAAAAATCCAAAAAAACACCAAAAATCTCTGGAATCCCAATCTCAAATCCCAAAAATCTCTGGAATCCCAATCCCAAATCCCCAAAAAAACCCTAAAAATCCCTGGAATCCCAATCTCAAATCCCAAAAATCCAAAAAAACACCAAAAATCTCTGGAATCCCAATCCCAAATCCCAAAAAACCCCGAAAACCCCAAAAATCTCTGGAATTCCAATCTCAAATCCTAAAAATCTCTGGAATTCAAATCCCAAAAAACCCCAAAACCCCCCAAAATTCCAACCCCAAATCCTTCCAAAAAACCCCAAAAATCCCAAAAACCCTGGAATTTGCCCCAAATCCCTCACCTGGAGCCCGTTGGGGCCCCGTTCCTGCGGGCCCTGCGCAGCTGCCCCGGCCGTGCCCCAAATCCCAAAACAACCATTTCAAACCCCAAAAAACCCAAAATTCCAACCCCAAATCCTTCCAAAAAACCCCAAAAATCCCAAAAACCCTGGAATTTCCCCCAAATCCCTCACCTGGAGCCCGT